GTCATTTGGAGCATCTTAAACCTCTGTATGCTTTCCTAAACTTCATGCAAGTTTTCTGTAATTCCCGTGCCTAGATAAGCCTGGAACAGAAATATCAAGTAACATTTTTAGTCTGGTCCTGTACAATTTACTGATTATTGAACTAGCTTTCTCACTATTTTTGGGGAGAAAACAAAGAAAAAACTCAGTCTGTTGTTGTTGTTAACTGAAACATTTTGGGGGGTGGACATTGGTGGAACTGCTAGAGATTTCAGTTTGGGGGATTATGGTTTTCCAGTTAAAAATCAAAATTTTAGTAGGAAAAGTTAATGGAATTTTATAGCAGCAAATACAGCTGTTTTCTTGCTTACCTGAGAGCGTATAGAATGAGGACAGTTCCGGCACTTCTTGTCTCAGAAAAAGGAAGTGATACAGAAGCCCAGGATAGAAAACCACACAGAAATGTTTGCAGGCTTTTTAGATCTTCCTTGCTCTGGGGGGAAAAAAACTCAAAACAAAACCTGATTCAATTCAGCTTTAGTTTTTGGCCACGTTCCACATAGTTCTTCTTAGAGAACTATCTATTCCAAATCCCAGGATCCCAGACTCTGGCACTGTTTATATTAGGAAATATTATCGTGCTTAAAAATGACAACAAAATGAGAACAAAAATGATGCTGATCACAAAGATTGTAGATATGGGCACATTGCTTTCATAATCATGCTGTTATGGTTAAACCTTGAACCAAGTTGGGTGCCTCTGACCTGGGACTAGCTTGATAGCTTTATCTTGATAATTGTAAAACATCATACTATTCAGTAATGTAGATGAATCCAAATTTAAAACTTTGAACCATCATATGCAAATGGACCAAAATCATTATAAGAAGATAAAATCAAAACCTGGATCAAAACATATCCGAATAGTGAGATGTTGGGTTTCTGGAACAGGATGAAATGTGTTGACTTGAGTCTATTTCTGTGTTTTATTGGCGGTGAGCTGTTTCGCTTGGCCCTGGTCAATGAAAGCCAAATACTGAACTCTTTTGTCAGGTGTGAATCCTGAAGTTGACTGAGAATGGTTGGGAGGGATGAAGCAGAGAAGATTTGGTGACCTTGATTTCATTTAAAACTGATTGCAATATTAAAACCTCATTTTTTATGGAGGGCAAAATTCCTACTGGAGGCAGTAATCTTTTTGCTTGATAAAGGAATAAGAAATCTAGAAAAAATAAGCTTGGAATCTGGCCCTGAAGGATAATGGGATTTTATTTTATTAATAGTGGTCAAATTAATAGTGGTAGCATACAGAGACCTCAGACAAGATCAAGGTTTATTGTGCTAAGTGTTTTCTAGACACATTGGCCATTATTTTCAGAATACTGCAGCACCTACAAATGAGGACAGATTTTCTGAAGAGCTCGGGTCCTTTTTAGGCATGTCAGTAAGTGTCCAGATTTTCGGAAAATATCTACACATTGAGGGCTTAACCCTCTGGAAAATCTGGTCAACTCATCAAGAATCTTACGTCCCTGATTCAAAGCCCGCTGACATCTTTCCAAAGAATGTAGCAGGAGTTGGATCAGGCCCTACAATAAGCAAGGTAGATTAAGGTTGGGAGATGAAACACCACAAAAGTGATGTCCTTATGCTTGTGCAGAAAATCCAAGTAGAAACTATGTGTCCTGAATCCCAGGCCAGTGCTCTGTCTGTGAGACCTGACTACTTTTGAATTTGGAAAAAGGTGTCTGTAATTAGGCCTCTCCAGCCTTGCATTATATATTGAAATTAAAAAAAAAATTTCTGGCAAAACGCACTTAGCTGAATTAAAAAAAAAAAAAATTCAGTCTGTTTACATTTCAACATAGCACTTTTAATTAAATACCCTTTATGCAGATGATAGATTTGTATATTTTATAGCCCCACCCAGTATCTTTAACAGCATTTTCATTATTAATCTATAAGCATCCCCTCTCCATCCCCCCACCCCCCGCAGTGAATAAAGGAATTAAAAAGAGCCTATAATTTGCACAAGAAAAATATTTGGGTCCGGTAGATGTGTTTTAGGCATGCCTTTTGTCTGCTACATTAATTGCAGGAAAATCCATGGCATAAACGTTTAATAATCTGGGAAGGAAGATGGGGTGCAGGAGGGAGGAAGCAATACTGTGTCTTTAATTTTCTTTTCTGAAAGAGGAAAGTCTGCATAGCAATGACAGGATCACTTGTTCATGCCTTTAATGTGTGATCTGTTTTCTCCAGTGGAGGGCACTCAGTGTATCACAAACTAGAACATTAGCACCAACAAGCTCCAGAGCATCATCACTCTCTGGAAAGCCTTCTGAATTAGACAAGAGCTGCCTCTCAGCACAGCTACAAAACACTTTAAACCTGACCAGCTAAATGGATAAACCTATCCTGCATAGCTTTTAAACTGGGGTCTTTTAAACAGCACAGGAGGCCTGCTTGCTTCAGGAACTGGAGAGCTGGAGGATGGATTGCTGTGTCTGGGAATGGCAAAAGGCAGCAGAATAAGGGATGCTAGGTACCGGGGAAGATTTTTTTATTCCTCCCAGAGAAGTTGGTCCATCCCTGGTCCTGTCTTCCCCACCCCCCTCCACCCCCTTCCCCTCTCCCTTCCTTTCCTCATCCCCAAAATTCTTGCTTGTCCTCTCTAGGGAACTTTGTGTGGGTTACTGGCATGCACGCCGGATGGTGGTGATGTGAGTGGCAGCTGTGCTGTGACATGAAGGTTGCGATGGTTTAAAGAAAGGAGCCCAGTTTAAAAAAAAAGAGAGAGCCAGAGGGAGCAAACGAGAGAGAGAGAGAAGAAAACAGCTGGAGGAAGAAAAAAGGGGATACGCTTGTGGATGACAAAAGGATGGGTAAGTGAACTTTTGTTGTTTCCTCCTTAGCACAGCTGCAGATGTACAGTATATTTTTTCAGTTGGATTATTAGCTGATCAAGAGCGGGGAACAGTCTGAACAGCAGCGGTGCATTCCTTTGCCAGGTGACTCACTGCTCTTGCTATTATATTTTTAGATCGTGTATCCCCCCCTCTTCACAAACACACACACACGTACACACACCCCTTCCCCCCTGCAGTTGTTTTATATGTAATTAATCTGTAAATGCATGCACAGAGCTGCCGACCACAGCAAGTCCATTCATGATCTAACTCACCCACACACCTCTAAATAGGTATCTGTATACGTCTGAGGCGTGCACATATAGGATTTCCTTTGGGTTTATGTGCATGTTAGATAAGCCTGTATTGATATTATGCAGGTTGCCAGGAAGGATTGTTAACACTTTGCAGCATGTGGGAAGTAGGCAAGAGGGGGGTGATTTTGTTGTATAGGTGGTTTTGAGAAGGCTGACTTGGTCTTTCAATAAATATCCCTAATATAGCTTCTAGATCTCCAGCAGTCATTTGCCAGTCTTATTTTTTCAAGTGTGACAGGTTTATTCCCCCCCCTGTCTGTAATAGCTGGAACATATTTCTAGCTGGCTGCTGCTGGCACATAGGCAATAGCAAAAGATCAGGATTTAAATTAAAAACCTAACCATTAAAGTGAAAGAGAGAGACGCGTAAGGGCTTTTTAGATTAAGAATTATTTCATTTACTGCCTCTTGGTTTAAAATTGGAATCAATAACTGCAGCACAGAATTTGTGTGTGTGTGTGTATGACAAATAATAAAATGACTATTTATAGAGAAGAAAATAGTCCTTTAAAAAATTCTGCTGATGGAAGAAAGCAACCAAATCATCGGTGGGAATACAACTCTGGACTGAGCCAGGGGGTCCCAAAATTATGATTTGCTCTGAGAAAGCATGTGTGCGTGTGTACAGGTTGAAATTTCTGAGACTTCTCACTATTATTCAAAGAATGTGTAAAATGTGACTGCTCTTACAAAGAAGCATAGATAATGCAGAATGATCAGCCTAACATCTGAAATGCAAAGCATTAAAATCAGCAGCAGTGAGGAACAGCAAGGGGGTTTCAGATGAAAATATGACTCTTTCAACTTAACACTTTTTGCTGGTCTTAATGCAATGTTGGTAAAAAAAAAAAAAAAAAAAAGTGTGTGTGCATACATATGCACACATACTCATATCTGTGTATATGTGTATGAGTGTGTAAATACAGATACACACACAATGAGGTATGCACATGCAGTACATAAGAATAACACAAACAAAATAATAGATATTTAAATATCAGTAGATGTGTTTACATGCATATAATGCATATGTATTGTGATCTTGAAAACTATATTTTGAGATATGTATATTAATGAAGGCATCCTCGTGATTCTGGGGTCCCTACATCAGCTGCACGATATAGATACACATGTAGGCTAGTGTTTGTATGTGTGTATGTGTGTTTACAGTGCATGTATTTTTTTTCCACATGAAAAATTCTGGTTAGTGAGGTTTTCATCTACTTTTTTTCATTTCGCAATAAAGGCATGTTTTAAAGGCAGGTCAAACTTTATTATATGTCAGCTGATCACTGTAGCTCCTATTTATACTCGTTTTGGTGGGGATGCAGACTGGAAAAGATTTACACACAGCTGGGTTTATTAAGAGATATTTTACTTCTTGTTGAACTACTGAAAGCTGGGGCTGAGCTCCTATCGAACCCTGTGGTGAGTACAGAACGGTGACTTGACAAATATGTTTTTTGTTAAAACCTCAGCATCGAGTGATAAGGAGATACCCACTACATAGCGTGCTGATGTACATAAGAACAAGGGAAGAGCAGACAGGCTCCCGGCCTTTCTTTGGGATCATAAATCACACAAAACTAATTGAATAACCACAGAGGTGGTGGTAGTGTGTGTGTGTGGGGAGGGGGAGGCAGGCTAGGAAGTGAACCGATAACAGGCATTTACGTAGCAAACAATGCAGGAAGAGACAAACAGGTTGTCTCCAAATCCACTGGACCTCTAATGCCTCAGTAGAAACCCCATTGACATAAGTAATCTGCTGGTGATTTATTTTAATAGTTTTACAATGCACATTTGTCTTCTTTTTAATATTGTAGGTTTCCATTTAATTAAGCAGCTGAGAGGCATGAGTGTGGTGTTAGTGCTACTTCCTACGGTGCTGTTTGTTATGCTCACTGGGGCTCAGCGCGCTTGCCCCAAGAACTGCAGATGTGATGGCAAAATTGTGTACTGTGAATCTCATGCATTCAGAGATATCCCTCAGAATATTTCTGGAGGATCTCAAGGCTTATCATTACGGTACAACAGCATCCAGAAGCTTAAATCAAATCAGTTTGCGGGCCTGAATCAGCTCATCTGGCTTTATCTTGACCATAATTATATCAGCTCGGTTGATGAGGATGCATTTCAGGGGATCCGAAGGCTGAAGGAATTAATTCTAAGCTCCAACAAAATTACTCATCTGCACAACAAAACGTTTCACCCGGTCCCCAATCTCCGCAATCTGGACCTTTCTTACAACAAGCTGCAGGTGTTACAGTCAGAGCAGTTTAAGGGCCTTCGCAAACTCTTGATCTTGCACTTGCGGTCAAATTCACTGAAAACGGTACCAATCAGAGTTTTTCAAGATTGCCGGAACCTTGATTTTCTGGATTTGGGCTACAACCGTCTGCGGAGTTTATCCCGTAATGCTTTTGCTGGCCTCCTGAAGTTAACAGAGCTCCATCTAGAGCACAACCAGTTTTCTAAGATCAACTTTGCCCACTTTCCACGCCTCTTCAACCTTCGATCCATTTATTTGCAGTGGAATAGGATCCGGTCTATTAGCCAAGGGTTAACATGGACTTGGAGTTCCTTGCACAACTTGGATTTATCAGGGAACGACATTACGGGAATAGAGCCCGGGACGTTCCAATGCCTGCCCAACCTGCAAAAACTGAACCTGGATTCCAACAAACTCACCAACATCTCTCAGGAGACCATCAATACATGGATCTCACTAACATCCATCACTCTGTCCGGAAATATGTGGGAATGTACTCGAAACATTTGCCCTCTGTTTACTTGGCTTAAGAATTTCAAGGGGAATAAAGAAAGCACTATGATATGCGCAGGCCCTAAGCACATCCAGGGTGAGAAGGTGAGCGATGCTGTGGAAACATATAATATCTGTGCTGAAATCCAGGTGGTGGTCACTGAAAGATCATACCAGGCACCTAAAACACCCCAGAGGCCACTTTTTATTCCCAAACCTACCATTTCTAAACTGGAAAGTAATCAGCCAACCTCTGTTATGCCAAGTCCTTCTCCGGACCTGCCGACGCCTGGAGTGGAACCAGAGTATGAGCATGTTTCCTTTCACAAAATCATTGCTGGGAGCGTGGCCCTCTTTCTTTCAGTGGCTATGATTTTGTTGGTCATCTACGTGTCGTGGAAGCGCTACCCAGCCAGCATGAAACAACTCCAGCAACACTCTCTTATGAAGAGGCGCAGAAAAAAGGCCAGAGAGTCTGAGAGGCAAATGAACTCCCCTTTACAGGAGTATTATGTGGACTACAAGCCAACAAACTCTGAGACCATGGATGTATCCGTTAATGGATCTGGACCCTGCACATATACTATCTCTGGCTCCAGGGAATGTGAGGTATGAACCCTGATCCTCCTAAAACCATTTCAGCAGCTGGGAAGGAGAGGTAAATGTTTGAAGCTCTTGAGGTGTCTCTAATCACTAGAAAGATTAATGAGCCTTTTTGCTTTTGGGTTTGCTCAGTGTGAAAGGTTATTTAATTAAATTACAACAATCAGGGAAGTGACAGTGGTTATTTTCAACAGTGCAGACTTGAAAGAGGTTCATCCAAGGATGAGATTAAGTTGGAATAAATAGCCATGTTAAACACATCTGGAGCCTGGATTTCCTCTAGCCTGGACCCATTTTACGCCAGTTGCTTTAAGAGCATCACTAATAATGTGCAGTGGTGTAACTGGGAGGTGATTAAGGCTCCTGCTGTTCTAGGGCATATAGAGTAGAGTGCTTGGGGAGAAAAAAAAATCTTTATAGTAGGGTCGATATTGCATCTGGTGGCTTCTCCAACCTATTTGACAGGGGGTTAAAAAAGATGATGCCATTTATCTCAAAAGTAACATTTGCACATGCCTGGTTTGGTGTTTTTTGCTGTAAAGGTTCAACTGAGAGACCAAGAGATGGCATAGGGGGTATAGCTCTATTGCAGTGAACAGAGTTACATCCTCTTACATGAAGTGTCATTTTGGCAAGTAAAAAACTGGCAGTCATTGTTACCTGTGTGACCTGGTCTATCAATAGAACACAGTACCATAATGTGGACTTGGGGGTGGGGGGGGGTGTACACACACATGCGTGTGTATATGTTAAGCTGTAGTTTTGTAATAATTAGGGCATTAGTAAATCAGAAAGGGTTGTACTTTAGATCAACATGGCCCATTTATACATGGTAAGATGGATTTTTGTTCCGCCATTCCAACAAAGTCTCCTTTGGGTAACTGGCTTTCTGCTTATGTAACATAGTGTTTGCTGCTGTGGTATTAAAGCAAGGTTAGACTTGGCTCTTCTCATCACTGTAAGCATCCCAATGGAAAACATTAATGGTCTGTTGTGACTCATTCACATACCTGGAATTCTCAATGACTTCAGGAGGTTGGGTTTAAACCAGGTTAGGACTTGGACAGTGTCTTTGACACTCAGGTATGCTAAAATGCAAGGTCAAGATTGTTTAAATGTAACTACTGATTTTCAGTGATCAACTGGAGAACCTTTCCCAGGGCCTGATCTTTTGAGCACTTTTCTGAAGATCAGGACCCTCCCAGATATGTAAAGTTGGGCACCCAAAAGCGCTGGTCACTTTTGGAATATGTTAGCTCAAAGGAGCCTGTTTGTGCTTTGTGTTTAACTTGCTTACAGCAATAT